TCTCTCTCTCCCTCTCACTCTCCCTTTACCTCTACCTCTCTTCGTCGGACTCGTGGCAACCCGGCTTTTGTTGAGCTTGCTTCCATTTCGAGGGGAAGTGTTGGGTGAAGAGATTCGAAGGTCGCTTCCACCAGAAGACGACGACCGATTTCTCTTGATCAGCTGTCAATTGGCTTTACTGGAACATTCATGATGACGCTGTTTCCAAGGCAATCTACTTTCTTGACTCGACTTTTCTTGACTCGACTTTTCTTGACTCGTTAACTAGAATTTTGTTTTGACGATTTTACCTCGCTCTGATGATGTCCGTCATATGAAGGACGGAGGCTTAGCACCTTTTCACCGGAATCGAAGGAGATTGCCTCGGAAACAGCGTCATCCAGAATGTTCGAGTAAAGCCAATCGACAGCTGGTCAAGAGGAATCGGCCGTTGTCTTCTGGTGGAACCGACCTTCGAATCTCTTCACGCAACACACTTTCACTCGAAATGGAAGTAAGCTCAACAATTATGAAACAAGAGATTCTTCGAAACCCAACTTTTCTCATATTTATTTGCACAGCTCACCATTACAGGTAAAATGTATACACTACATTACCAGATTTATCAATATCATCATTGACTCTATACTTAAGTTGTATAACCCGGCTTTTGCCTATTTCTGACGATCTTCGAGACGACGACTGAGATGGTCTGATGGATCGGTTTGGCTGCAGTCTCGTGTGGCACTTTTGTGTTGTGTTGTGTTGTGCTGTATTGACAATTTAGAGACTGTACAACTTGGAGGTCTACAACTTGGCCAGACAGATTGCACCGATTTGGACGGATCAGCCAAGGGACTCGTAAGTCAATCCTGCCACATCGTCGCAACGTCAGCGCCTCTTTCGCGACGATTCGGCAAAGTGGGGCAGCGTAGAAAGAGGACGAGGCATCGGATGTGAGGAGGAATGGGGTCGTCGAGACTGTGCACATCAAGCACCGACTGAGGCGTCATGTGCTGCCGAGTATGACGGCAAAGTGTGTCAAAGCCACTGGTACCTGATGGGTAGACGGGGCCAAGGGAGGCTGGATGAAAGTGGGATTTTTTGGGTGGGTCAGAGGTTGGCTCGTCGTGGAGATGAGGCTCGCAGAAAGGGGACACACACACACACACAAAAGGTGCACCGAGACTGACGGTCAGCAACAAAGAGGCAACGAATTGTGCGGATGAGACGTTTTGGTGAGCTCGTCTGTAGACTGCGTGTCGTCTACTTGTACACGGACATGTTGGAGGAGAACTTGAAGATGTCACTTGAGCAGATGAGACGTCCGGTTGCTGACTCGTCCATCTGGTGGGAGGGGGGAGGAAAATGGGCTGACTTGTCGTCTTGCCAACGAAATGGTGGAAAATAAGAGGCGAAAGTTACGACGAGGACGCAGGCGAGTGGGCAATTGTGCTGAATTCGTGTCGGACAAAGAGGCCATCCGTCGTGAGGAGAATCTCAGCAAAAGTTGGTTGTCAAGTCAAAGCCAGGCACACTTACAGACGGAGCTGACGAGCTTGACGGTCGGGAGGTGGGTGGACTAACAGGGGACATGGACGTGTGGGGTGGTGAGAAGGGTCGGGCCGTTGGAGTGTGTCTGCTGGTGGCATGTAATGGGGCAAAGGGGAAAACGATTGAAGCGGAAGCTTCGAGGGATCCATGCAGGAGAGGACGACAGTCTGTCCAAGTGGGCCTGCACAAGACAGACGGTACTGTCGCACGAGGAGGAGGAGAGAGTGATCGGAGTGGCTTTGTCGCCGAGGCGACGGCAAGACTGTTTTTTGTCGTCGAGAGGAATGCGTCTTCGTCTTGTGATGGGATCCAGCCTCGAGTGTCTTCATTGCACTCGAACTGCTCAACTCGAAAGAGCGGCGAATCGAAGAGGAACGCTGAGCACTCACCGACCATCACGATTGGCTGGAAGGTGGGTCAACTGGCAAGAATGAGTCACACATCAGCCGACCTGCTTCGGGCGGGCTGTCCAACAGCGTCGACGACGTAGACATTTCGCCAACCGTCTGGCCTCACAGCAAAGCAGGGCCCAGCGACAGCGAAGTTGCTACATCTTCGGGAATTCCTTTTGCAAACATTCAGTGCATTGCCAGGCAACAGGACCCTTGACTCTGGCTTTCTCTCCCTTCATTTTCCTCTCTATCTCTCCC